TAAAAAAACTAAGACAAATTAATTGTTTGAATAAAATATTAATTATTTATTAGTACTTAAATAATATTTTAATTTAACGAAGATCTAAATAATAAATAAATTACAATCCAAAACCAGAAAGCAAATCAAAAAGTCAATTCAATTTATACGAAAGAATTTAGTAAAAAAAAGCTTATATTACACGACATAAAACAAATAAATCAGGCAATTCGTGTCAATAATAAATGAATTTATAGCAAAAAATATGTTAAACAATCAAAAGTTTTATTAATAATTAACTACAATTCAACTATTTAAATTTAACTATAATTATACAAAAATTATTTATTATCATTAAAACCAAATAAAATTTAGAGATTTTTATGAACCTTCATTCAGACTTTTTACAATAAATCTTAATAATTAGACAGTCTTTGGTTTTTTCTGTCTTTTATTCGTATCAATATTTGTATTACTCGATTACTGATTTGTTCTTATTAACTGTTCCACTTTTTGTTTGACTTTGATGATTGAGATCAAATTGTTTTTAAAGCATTTAGAATAATAAATATCACAATATGTGTGATATATTAGTGTTAATATTTATTTTTCATATTTTTCATTGATAATTTTCAATTTTCACCAATCTGGTTGTGAGTACAAAACAAATATTAATCAAAACAAATAACAATAATAAATAACAAACAACATAAGGACAACAAATCCAACAATAAACTCAAAATAATAATAAGTATGTATTTGACACAATATAGATTATAGCGTAGAAGTATATGTTCTTGTTTGAAACATGTGTTTCCAAATAAGAATGATTTATTGAGTATAAATTGGTTTTTATATAAAGTTATCGAGTTTTTTGTTGAATATTTTAATGACAAACAGTTTGATTTTGATATCCCGTTTAATACAAAAATAACAAAAACAATAAACATTGATTTGTTTTGTTTTTTTTCGAAATAGACAATAATTAATTTTAATATTAAGTATAATAAAACAAATATATTAAAATTTGTAATTAATTAAACCATTATTTTAATATAATTAAAATTTTTTATTATAATTTAAAAATTATATTATAATTCTAATTAAATAATAAATTTATATATATAATTATATTATAAAATAATAATAAAATGATTTAATAGTAGGAATAATAGGAATAATATAATATATAAAATAAAAATTTTAATAATATTAAATAATAATAAAATAATAACATTAGTATAATAAAATATTAAATAATAATAAAATAATAAAATTAGTATAATAAAATATTACTATAATAATAATAATAATAATAAATATAAATATAAATATAATTATAATAATAATCAACACAATCAAAACTTGATATTGTTTAATTAAAAACTCAGATAACACACATCATTATCCAGGCAATAAAACAGTCTTTCAAATGCAGTTTTCAACAACATATTTTTTGATCGCATTTGACGAAGTTTCGAAAAAAATCTTTCGATG